GGTCTCCTCCAGTTTTTTTTTGTTTTTTGTCAACTATTATTGGTAATAGAAAATATCCGTACACCTAGTAGGGACTTTAGCCTTTACACATGATCACCAGCTGAATGGCTTTGTGTCAGCTAGTCATAATTTTATGTGAGAGAGTGACGATGTTCAGCCTCACAGCAGTGCTGCCTCGGGGGTTGAATGACTGATCAAATTAAATCTCAGTACCTCTTTGTCAACGTGTTAACCTTTGCTGCCAAACAGGCAAACAGCATCAATGGATTTCTTCTGCGCTAATCAAGTTTATGTGATTATTTAGATGGATTACAAGATTACACCACATGTAGTAACCAGTACATACAATTAACCTGCAACAGTTATCTTTGATATTTCTTCTTATTTTCTCATTATCTTCATTGTGTAATACATTTGTGCCATTTGACCGAAAATGTTATTTAAGGAAAGTTTAAAAAAAAAAAATATTTCTCAGTTTTTTGTTTATAAAAAAAGGGCAGCAAAATGTGAGAAATACAATAAAGAAGAAGAGAAATGTAAACGCAACACTGCAAACATCATGCATTTGAGAGTAGAGAGAGAAAATGAATGAGCGACACACAGATTAGAGAGTGCGTGATAGATGGGACTGACAAACACACAGTTGTACGTTCCCCACGTGAATAATAAAGGTTATTATTTTGGTTGAAGCAAAGGTACTCAAAAAAATGATATTTGAAGCCTTCCATTCTGAATTCCACTCTCAAATCAAAAACAATATCCGCCCCACACTCCAGATAAATTGCACACTGCAGCACACACTTAACTGTACCAAAATTGGGGGAGTGAGTGAGAGAGACGTAAACACACAGATTCACCTACAAGCTGCTTGTGAAATACTTCCTCTACTTCCTCCTCAATTCCTATAAAAGAATCTACTCTTCTTAAGGTGTCACATTTCTACCGTCTGTTGAATCTGAGATTCCTCTCACACACAGTAGTGGACAATATGACACTAATTACTCATTAAATGTCTCAGTATGAGAGTCTGTATTTATGGCAGAGACTGCTGTATTCTTCACTAATGTTTATTTTAAATAAATACAAATGATAATACTAATATGGGTAATATCTAAAATGCAAATGGTTAGTATTTCTCCTGCAGTTTCCCAACGCTACATTAGAGACTCTTATAGTGAATAATAAATATGTTGAATTGGCTAAAGCTTGGCTAAAGCTAATTAGCCAAAAGACAAAAACAAATATAGCCTAGTTAACTATAAGGTAGGCTCCTAGCTAATGGATAAGTTAGCTCAAGGTTTAGCTAAGGCAATTTATCATGGGCATACAGGCTAATGTAGCCTACTGTACTTAAGGGGAGACACTAAAGGTGAATACAGTAAAATGTGTATCTAATAACGTCATCACAATCGCCACATTGATATGCAAATTAGGCGTTAACTAGTACACTAGTAATAAAGTAGCCTACTATCTTATCTCTTATCTTAATTAAAATGCGCTAATTTGCATGCAGTTACCAAGGCATTGCAGGTGAAAAGGATAAAACAAAAAACAAACAAAAAAACATATCACCTCACAACTTCCCCAGATAGTTACTTACGTCAAATCAGTATTTTCCCCGGAAATGTTATGTTTAAATGCAGATTAGCTTTAAATCTATAGATGAATTCAGACATGGTAATAAAACGAACACCATTTATTTGTGTTTTTTGGAAGTTTTCTTTCCAATAGAGTGAAAGAAAACATGGAAGCAAAATAGACCAAAATAACAAGTACATGAAAAAACGATCTTTTTGCCTGTAATGTCCTTAAACAGTAACTTCATAATTTTGATTGTTGGCTGCTCATTTAATAACTATTAATTGTACTAGTTTGTTGTCTGCTCTTGTGCATAGTGAATACTAGGCTAAAGAAGACCATTGTCTCTGTGTTAGCTGATTATTTTGTAGAATTCTGTTGAGTATTAAACAATTGCGTGAGTGTGAGGGTATTCAAATAAATTGGTCAGTAAGTCAGAGATGTGCAACTATATTTAACTTTTTGTTTTACATTTGTTTTTATAAATGATTATGGGAAGTGCCCTTTTTCTCACTTGAGCTCCCGCCCCCCAAAATGTCTGTGCACGTCCCTGCTCCTGCGTTAACACTCTGTTCCCTGTGCTAAGTTTTTATCTCTGCCTGCCAGTCTGCGTCTCCCTGTTCACTCCCAGCTCCTCGTGTCTGTCAATCCAGACCCTGGATCAGCCCCAAAAACTCTCTCCGTCTGCCTACCCTGAACACCAAGTTTGCTATAAACCTTTTTGAACTGTCGGTGTGCTGCACTCAATATTCAACTCGACAAATTATACATTTCAACTTTTACTTCTGAAGAATAAAGCATGTTGAAAAATGTAGCTGCGTCCAAAATCACTTCCTATTTACTTTGAAGCTGATTAATTTACTCTCTGACTTTTTATTTGACATCCAAATACTGAAAACTGTCATGCGTGATATAATAACCTCAACAATCCTGACATTGTACAAAACACAACTTCCTGTTTACAATCCCACAATGCAGTGTTTCATTTTAATATAGTATGTGAAAGTGACAGTTGTGAGACACCGTCAGAAATAAATAAGCACAAGAAATCCGAAATGTACCTCTCACTAGAAATTACATGTAAACTAATGACGCTTTATAAAATAAACAGTAGATAGTTAGTGATTTATTTCCAACAGAGTCTTGACTAAAATCTCATCAGATGCATCAACGACCTGCTCTGACTTCACTGGTTCGTTTTACCTGCTTCTTTTTTCAGTGTTGAATAAATGGCAAAGACCTAGACAAAATATTGGTATTCAATCTTCCTTTGCCTGATAATAATGTGAATAATTAGAATAGGAGTTAATAATAAAACAAGATGATAATGTCTATGAATATATACAAGCTCAGTGAGCTCCTTGGCCTTACTCTTTCTTGAATTAAACAGTTATTATAGTTATACAGTAATTAGATTAGTTCTGCCTGTCTGGATTATCTCTCCTGATGTCAACTCACAATGACACTTACCTCATCTGCCCTCCATGCAGATGAGGTACACACACACACACACACACACACACACACACACACACACACACACACACACACACACACACACACACACACACACACACACACACACACACACACACACACACACACACACACACACACACGCACACATTGCAATGTTGATAAAAACCTCCTGTGTACTGTAAAAGGGATGAAACTCTTTGCAGACGCAGGTGCTTGGTAGGAATGTGCAGACCCTGTTTGAACCCGGCTATCAGTAAACACAGAGGAGTGATTGCATATACGAAACTGTTGCAATCTTTTGGCTGTTACCATAGGAACACAATCTGACATGCACAAAATGTTTTCCTCACCTACTGCCATCTCCATCTGTTTACCATTTCGTGTTGCTGATCTAATGAGAGATTCTATCATCCCTGCTATGGTGGTGGAAAGTGTAGAGACACCATTGAGAAGAAGATAAATCCAGGGAGAGAGAGGAAAATAAGAAATGACTAAGTTTAAACAGAAAACGTACTGAAAAGAGTAAAAGCAGAGAGTCTGATAGGGAAACGTGTAATGCTGTATTTTGATGTTGTTAAAGATCTGTACATAGATTATTATTCTATTCATCCACTCCCAGAGTCAATTCCTCAGCAAATCTAACACATCATTATAGTTGCTATTGAAAAAACCTGGGGAGAATAAATAAAGTTGATAAAACACGTCTCCGTTACAGCATCACTCGCTAAATGTTACCTCCATCATTCACCCATGAACTAATGAAGGTCAGTGTAAGATTAACAGGTACTCGTCATTTTTTAGCAGACATATTTCGTTGTTATGAAATGTGTGTGATGATTTATCCGATGTGGATCATTTTTGTCGTAATCAAAAAGTGATTAGAAAAATGTTGTGATGGACACGCACTCACACGAAGTAAAACCATCCCAGTAGAGGAAATGTGTAATGATAACAATCCATCCTTTTCTGCTGAGCTTTACGTTAGATTGCATTTCTCCTCTAGAATCTTTCCATTCATCTGCTGAAATCCTGTTTTCATGACAAACAATAAGACATACACACTCACTCCATCACTGCCCCCTGTAGCTGTCAGAAAACGGGTGGGGGTTAAGGGATGGAAGGGGAAGAAAATAACACGAGTGAGGGGAAAAGGAATGAAAGAATTTGAAGGATTACCACGGTATGTGTGTGTGTGTAGAATAGAATAGAATAGAATAGGGAGGGATGAAACCCTCTTTAATGGTCACACATGCAGAGCACACAGCACACACAGTGAAATTTGGCCTCTGCTTTTAACCCATCCTAGTACAAGGAGTCTAGTACTAGGAGCAGTGGGCAGCTATTGTACAGCGCCCGGGGAGCAATGGGAGTGGGGGGGAAGGGGGGTGTCCGGTGCCTTGCTCAAGGGCACCACGGCAGGGCAGGAGGTGAACTGGGACCTCTCCAAGTAGAAGTCCACACTCCATATTTAGGTCTGGTCGGGGACTTGAACCAGCGACCCTAAGGCTCCCAGTCCAAGCCCCTACTGACTGAGCCACTGCTCAGTCTGTGTGTGTGTGTGTGTGTGTGTGTGTGTGTGTGTGTGTGTGTGTGTGTGTGTGTGTGTGTGTGTGTGTGTGTGTGTGTGTGTGTGTGTGTGTGTGTGTGTGTGTGTGTGTGTGTGTGTGTGTGTGTGTGTGTGTGTGTGTGTGTGGTGTAGTAATAACTGTCTTTATCTGAGAAATCTATCTGAACCAGAAGTGACTGACAAGTTCTCCACAGATGACATGGACATGGAGACAAAGAAGAGAAGCTATGTAACAGCCTAAATGACAAGTATTCAACATAAATCGACACCTTTTGTGAAGTCAGAAGGATTGTGAAAGAGTTGGCCTATATCTAAACAAAAAGCAACTAAATATCTAAATAGTTTATTTAATTGAGCTGAGAGCTCCAGTACTCACCAGCCTTATTGTGCCTATGTGCTGGTTTGCTGTGCTCCTGACCAGGCAGACAGGGACACAGCCCGTCACACTTCACTGAGACCGTCTTCCCAGAGAGGCAGCCCTGGAACTCCAACTTACACTGTAGAAAAAAACACAACAGATTCATGAGTAATGAAGGTTTATTCAAGTTTCTCGAGGGCTGGAAACTCAGCATAAAGACACACATCGTCAGTATACTTGTCTTGAAGACTTGGCCTGTAAAAACAGTTGTACGATGTCTTTTGTGGCTCTGCAGGTGCTCTCTAAAACAATCCAGATTTTGTTTTCATGGTCATCATGCATTGGAGGTGATGGAAAACTACCTTCGTTGAGTTTCAGAGTTGAAATGGTAATTGCTTTGACCACACCAGATCAAAATATTATTTTCTTTCCCCTTTGATGGATGTATTATCTTGCACTCAGCTAAAAACACCTGCTATTTTGCAGCCTAAAATTATGCATTTAAAGACTTGGTCAATGACCAGGGATTGAAGGTCTTATAAATAAGTACTTTTGCATTTATAATAATTATTTTTGCAAGCAGTGCAGTTGCTGCCTGCTGCTTCGTTTATAGTTTCATTTTTCAGACCTGGAAGTTGCTACTTTTTAAATGATAGTAATAAACTCCACCTTGCCATTGGCTAAAAGCCAGGACATTTTAGGGGTACTGCTGTCCCGATTACATCCACTTGCATTGAAATCTACTTTTTATATAAAATGGCAGTCGCATGCACACCTTCAAATACAATGAATCTATAGAAGAGATGAGGAAGAATGAGGAATTCTGGACACTTTGTTTACAGGATCTATTAAAGGTGGGGTAGGTAAGTTTGAGAAACCGGCTCGAGATCGCTTGAATTTGAAAATACACAACCGGAGAAAATCTGCCACTTCCTTATAGAGCCCCTCCTCCAACACACGAACGCGCACATGACCAATGAGGGCACGAGATAAGTTTGTGCCCCGATGGAAGGCTGACAGGCAGGTAGGCCATCCAGTTATTTTAGCCGGCCCGGCTAAAATGATTGGATGATTGGATGGCCTACTGTCGTGCTTTTTACAGTACTACGGCTTCCACAGATGACATTTTTTTATGGATTTTTTGTCAAAGCACTTAAGATATTCATTGATATCGGGATGTTAAGAGCATTCCATGGAATATAACAAAAAGTGTATCTCGAGCCGGTTTCTCAAACTTACCTACCCAACCTTTAATACTGTGGTTCGAGTATGTAATTGCAAACAAACAGAACTTTGAGTTTCCAAATGTCTTTGTTGAGCTGATTAAAGGAATAGATTTGCTGAGACAGGATTGGTCATTTATCTTCAATGAACAGATGTGTCCATTAGGCAGCCATACACCATTAGACACAGAGTTGCCCGGTAAAACTGTTCTATTATTCACTGCTGTACAAACCTAATGCAATGCAAAAAGCAAGATGGACTACTTTAAAATGTAATTTAACAATATACCAAATCTCATTTCAGGTAAGTGAAGGGTAAGAAACAGTTTGGACTGTTTGTGGGAGCAAAACAATCCAATTACAAGATCCTTCCAGGAAGAATAATGAAAACTGAAATGAGTTATGTAAATTCTGTTTGTGAGATGATGACGACAGCGTGAGACCATGACTGTGCGTTAACCATAAACATATCATGCATCATGCACAGGCTGAGCCTTATGCTGCCGGCACTTTCATTTCATGTCGTAGTTTAAATCCATCACTTCCTGCCTGTCACCTCCTTGATAGCGCTACTAATGTTGCTTAATGAAATTTGTTGACAAACTCTGTCCTGTTCCCAACATATTGAATTAGCTCTCTCTGGGTGGGGAGAGAGAAAGGAAGGGAGAGAGAGAGCACAGGGAATGGATGACCTCCCCCAGTCACTGTCAGCACACTGAGAGGCCCCATGAATCTTTATGTTTGTCTCTCTCCTGGGGTTAATGTGGTTTTGATGAAACAATGTTTTAACACCTGACTCGGTACAGTAAAAATAGAGAGGAAAGGAAAGGTGAGAAAAGGAGAGGAGAAAAAGGCGAGGAGAGGAAGCATGATTTAAGAGGAGGGAAGTAATGGACTTAACTGAAGCCTCTCTGGAGATAAGGGCACTGTCTTCTTAATAGTATATTGAGTGGTGTGTGCGGTTACGATGAGGGAGGCATGTAATGTAATAATAAAACATGAATAAGCTGCAGAGCAGCAGCGCACTCGTGAGCAGAGTTTAAGTTGGGCCACAGGGAGCCATCACTCCACCAGCTAACTGAACCCCTCCAACTAAATTACCGCAGCGACCAGAGGGACCTCCCAGCCCTCCCTTTCCTTTTGTTCTTCCTCTTGTTTCTCCTTCAATACTCCTCCTCCTCTGCACCGCTCCAGGCAGGTCGGTCATTAGGAAGAGCCTGCCTCATACACAAGAGGTTCAAATCCCCAATTAGGTTATTTCATGGTTTTGGGTCGGAGGCTTAACCCTGCATTTTAAACAGAATCAAGATGACCTCCAAATGTCTGGAAGTCCACCGATTATGCAGAGATGATCTGTGAACGGACAACCGATAAAGAAAACATGAGTGTTGTTGAACTCCTTCTCTAAAAGGTGTGCTTTTATTGATTATTCCTCCTCAGACACTACTGGACACTACCGGCGTCCTGGACGCTCATAGCTCACTCTACTTTGCCAATATCCTGTCACAAAGATTTAGATTCAGCTCAAGAGATGTCTTGCATTGTCCATTTGTTTGAGGTTCCTGTACTTCACGTCTTGAAGCCAAAATAACATGAATGCGGATGTCAATAAGAATCCCTCAGTCTGCTAAACTAAGGACAAACCAGCTACCTTATCTCCCTCTTCACCTCCTCAGTTTGAACTTCCTCTGCTCATTTTCCAAATGTGCCATTCTTTTCTCCTCCACAATGACAAGTGGGTTTGTGGCTGTGAATAATTTCATGTAGCTCAGAGTGAGCATACGAGCAGAGGTTAGCAGCTGGAAGTGAGTTCGTCCTGAGAAGATTTCAGTGCTGCTGAAAGATCACTGATAGCTGACCCTGTTCTTAGTCATTTGCGTAACAGACAGAGAAAAGTACCACTCAACACAGTGAAGGAGGACAGGAGCCAATACATTGACGGTAAAGTGGAATAGCATGAAAAGAAAGCAGGAGAAAGACAAGAAAGCACGATGAAAATGTGACAATAGATAAGACAATGAAAGATATATTTATAACTTCTGTATGTCTTGAAGAAACCCAGTTATTGCTTTTTATTATAAAAAACAAACTGTATTATTGGTAAATACAATTCTAGAGAAACCGAGGAAAGGAAATGATACACTTACAGTGAGAGAAGAAGAGTGTGAAACTTAAAGAGAGATAATTGGAAGAGGGATGTCTCACCCTGGAGGAGTAGGTGTGTCCATCAGATCCACACACAGGACTTGACTGGAGCCCTGAGCAGAGCCTACATTTACCATGAGCTACGGCTTCAGGCCTGTGCTTGTGTCCTGCTCTGCCTTTCCTGGGTTTCACACTGAGAATGAAAGAGAGATGGGGAAAATACACATACATTTAGTTATCTACCAATCCAAAGTTTGACATGACTCAGTTAATCATAGACAAAACAAACCATTACATCTACAGTGATTGAGCCAAATCCCTTCTAGTGGATGTATTGGATTTTGACATTTATGATGGAACATTGAGAAGCAGTATCACCTTTCAAAGCAGGATCATTATTTAAACTAGCAGAATCCCTTTTTCTACCAACGTTTTTAAAGTATTTCTGGTTGTCAGGGTAAGCAGAAGCAGAGCGAGTCCTGATTGGTCTATTGAGGCCTTTTCAATAAAGAGAGTAATTGCAGTTGATCCAAATCTCGCAGCAATTTTCTATGTAAGTGCTCTCACTAAACACCCTGCTTCCTCCTGATGCATCCAGCACTGCAGGAACATTGACTCTTTGTGTAACTAATGGGACAACAGCAAATGACAGTATGTGAACATCAACTACAGAAGTGACCAGATGGATATTACAAAGTCATGCAACCTTTTTCCACATACACACTCTAAAATTGTAATCTAAAAACTCCTCTACACTGTGTTGGCCTCATTTTCATAAAAAGTATTAATTAAGAGATCATCGTTCAGTCCCTTTGAAGATTCTACGCTACGTAAAACTACAACATTTACATCCCAGGAACTTCCTCACCAACCGAGACATCATCTTAGCCACGGCAGATTAGACATGCACATTGCACTGATAATAAAACCGTGGTGGCAGATGGGGTAAGATGGAGGTACAATGAAACCTGTAGTATGCTGTTTGATAATGTTCCCCTAATTTCCCCATCAAATCCCAATGCTTCTCCTCCTCTCCTTTCAAGTACTCTTTGCATAATTGCAGTGAAATTCGAGAATGAGTTCGTTATTAGTGGGAATTTCAGGGCCGGATTGGTTTTGCCAGGGAAATTAGCACATGCATTTCAATTATTACCAGAGTGAGAGATACCTTATATCGACATAAAAGCCTCAAACAGAAACAAGAAAGTGATATCTCTCTCTCCCTGAAAGGCCGAAGTACAACCCCCTGCTGAGAGTGTCCATGTTGCTCTAATCTTGAAAGCTCTGATTTGACGGTACTACATCCCCCTCACAGCATGGGCTCCATAATATTTTGAATTATAGCTTGATACTAATGAAGATGTCCAAGCCCACAGCCAAACATAATCACCCAGAAAGGGAAATAAAGTAGTCCAAGCAGAGCTATATCAATTTCAATAAGAAGAAGTTATGCTTTGGACTTTTGTTATAACAGTTTATACACATTTGCTCGTGGATTAAAGTACACTCCGCAGTAATACCAAATTGTGTCCAGGGCATCTTCAAAATGGAAATTATATAAGCAGTGAATATCAATGAGGAATCCTCTCCTAGATAAACACGATGCAGCTTAGTGTACCTGTATATCTCAACATCTCTTTGCAAATATTTTGAAAGCAACAAAGTTAAATGTTCCCCTGAGAGGATACTTGATCCGAGTTATGCTAATTATCTAAACCAGGGCTCTCCAACACGTCGATCGCGAGCTACCGGTAGCTCGCGGGCAGCTTTTCAGTAGCTCGCCGCTCGATTATCGATTATAGCGTAGTAAGGTTGCTTATTGATTTTTCGGCCGCGGCTGGACAATAACGTTTTTTTATTTTAGATTTTTTTCTGTCACACGAATATCAAATGGTCGGTGACGCAGAGATCAAGGAACAGACGTGACAGCAGCACAGCGACAACACACACGGAGCAGTCTGCTTTCTCCACCAGCACGAGTCCAGAACTAACAGCAGAATGACCCGCTCTGAATCAGGCCCTGTCGCTGCGCCTCGGAGACACACAGGGAGGGATTTGTGTTTTTTGAAAAACACTCGTTATCGTCATGTCAGGTTTTTGGTGGATTTAATCAAGTCTTGGATTGCAGAGTATGAATGTCCTCTTGCTATTTTCAGTTGATAAATACTTGTGTAAAGTTTGTGAAGGCAGGAGGAAAGCTTCCGCGATCACCGTCTCCTCTCCGTTCCTCCAAACCCCGCCCCCTCCCTGAAAATAATGAGTGACAGGCTGATAGTGACCCGATAGAAACTTTATTATTCACTTAATCACTGATTGAGATATGATGAAGCTAACTTAATCTCATACATTCATGGGATTTATGTAACAGTAAGACAGAGAATGTAAGTGTGCACCCACATGCACTATTTTTGTTTTTATAATGCTATTGTAAATACTCCTGCTGTTTTCAGACTCAAGTCATGTGTGTCTTTTTTTTAACAGAAGACCGTTGCTAGAAGCTGCAGCTAGACTGCAGAAGTATTAGTTTTTTGTTTTTGAGGATGGAACCATTTTCACACACAGATATAGGGAGGCCAGACCTATACAATTGATTTATTATGGTTTATAATTTAATGTCAAGACGAAGAAGAAGAAGAAAAAGATGGCTGAACAACTGTTCAGTGTCAATCCTGTGGAGATCTCCAAAATAATGTTCAGCTTAAGTCTCAGCAAAACTCACAACATTTCTGGAGCCTTGTAGACCCAGAAAACTATAGAACATTCACCAAGCAGCACTGAAAATGTCTGCTTTATTTGGTTCTGTTCTACATACCTTTGTGAAGCAGCTTTTTCTGACATGAATGAAATCTAAATACAGAACAAGACCGACTGATGAACATTTAAATGACTCTATTAAGTGAACCTAAGTGGGTCCAGCATACACCTCTATGGTGGACTGTATGCAGTGCCATTAATCTCACTAACAAAAGAGTGAAATGCTTGTAAGGTGGTGATTAAGGACACTTATGTGAATGTTCAGTGATGTACTTATTATGTGGGCCATAATAATATGTGAGAAATCTTCGTTTTCTTGGACCTTATTTTTGATAAGCTTTAGGTATTGCAATTTCACACGTGTACAAAAGTATAGCTTAATTCAACTGATGAGGGCTATGTGAATAAATGTAAGCGATGTGATGCAAGTAGCTCTTGGCCACTTTCATTTTTTGAAAGTAGCTCTCAGATGAAGAAAGGTTGGAGACCCCTGATCTAAACTAATCTAACACACAGATAAAATAATACCATGCTCCAAAGCTCCAGTGAGTGATGTTGTTGGGGAAATACTGATGTCATGTGAATAATTTGAAATATTAAGCAGCAAATAGGACAAGTAATTAAGGCAATGCAAAGAAAAGCATTCAAAACAAGCATCTTCGGAGGTAATGACTTGAGGAAATCAATTAAACCCAAGAAAGAATACAAAAAAAACATTGAACGTCTTTTGGGGAAAATGCTTCTCGAGCTGTAAAATTGAAAAACCTTAAAATTGACAACATGACAAGGTTGAAAACACAAACAAATTGGTTGCTGAAAGAGTCCAGAGAGCAGACGGAAAGTTTGATTAAAATGAATTGGTGTTGAGAGCGTCTGTATGACTATCACTGAAGCAGAAAGCACAACATGCTACTTAATTGCATGATTCTGATGGGTGTCATTTGTCTAATTATTAATTAAATATAAGTTCAACTCTGCATAATCATTTTACAGACATGTAGCTTGATAGTAATTCAATATTTAATGATAGAGAAAGTCACAAACTCAACTGTTTTCTTTATAAGATAGCACATCTTTTGAATGAACCCTCATGTTATGTTTTGGGCTCTCTTTAACCACTCCAAAGAATAATTTTAAAGCTTTAAAATTGTTATACACTCTTAATAATTCATTACTTAATTTTCATTCAGTGCTGCATTACCTTCTGAGCCAAAGCAGACTAAAGTAGGTAAACCCATAACAGTCACACTTGTGGTCCTTACCTGTGAGTTGGGTGCTTGTGATTGGTGCAGATGGCTGTCTGGTAGTCGTGGCTGACACACACCTTGTGGCGGGGGCAGCGCACCTTCAGACAGGGGTCCTTGGTGGCATCTGGACCTACGGGGAGGGATCAGGGACAAACTTAATCTCTGAGCTGCTCAATACGTTTGGTGGAAACATGCACAGCAAGTGAGTCAGCACAATGTAGTTCTGCAAATGAGAGTTGATGCAGCAAAACATCAAGCTGTTTGTTGTTTGTTGGCAGGTGGCAGATTATTACGGTCCACTAACTGAAGCAAGAAGACAGTAAACGTTGAGTTTTCCGCGGTGTGAGCTGCTTAATGAGGACTGAGCGGTGACCCCATCTTCTTCCAAATCAATCTTTGCAGTGACATTATTACTGTGGCAGCCAGGCACAGCTGTCCAGAATGAGAAAAGAACAAAGCAGCAGATCATTTCCCACTTGGCTAACAGCACAAACCCACTTCCCTTTGACAGACAGAAAAAAATAGCAGGAGGTGTCGGAGGTGGAGAAGACACATTGACAGAAAAATAAACGTAAGCTTTATCCTCAGCAAAAAAAGAAAAAACACAACAATGTGTGTTTAATGAAACGACTACGCATTGTATGTGGAGGAAGGTGCTGAGGACGGATGTGAGAAAGGAGACAAACGTGGAGGAGGAAGCTGTTTGTGTTGGTCATTCAGGGACGGATTAGTGAAGGACAGGAGGGAGGGCTCGTGGGAGGTGTGTCTCAAGATAAATTACGAGTCAATTATGAGCCATCAGCAGGGGCGGACTGGCCATCGGGACGTTCGGGACGAATCCCGATGGGCCGGTACTGAACCCCCCGTCGACAATTTCCTCGCGGTATTTACTTGCGGCACCGAGGTGGGCCGCTCGGATAACACACTAGCACCCATTGACAATTTACTTGCGGTACCGAGGTGGGCCGGCGGTACCGAAGTGGGCCGGTCGAGAGTCCCGGGCTGATTTGTAGTCCCAGTCCGCCCCTGGCCATCAGTATTCATTAAATGTTAAACATGGGCCTAGAAACCATTCTGAGCTAAGTATTGTGGAGTTCCAAATCGTATTCTACAGAAAACATTCAGAATAATGATGTAAAAATGAACTTTCCCTGCAATATCGTGATGCATTTCCCGATTTCAATACCAGTCATAATAACCCAATTAGATATTTAGTTTACAAATCCTTCAACTTAATGTATAAATACATGGAGCTGATGTATTTGGTACGTGGCTCATATACTGTAGGCTGAGATAGGAGTCCAGATGGGAAAAGAAGATGCAGAAATAGTCAGAAATATAAATGCTGACGTCAACTTTTGGGTATAGGAGGGGGAAAAGGGAGGGAAACTAGTGGGTGGGTATAGACCCAGCTTGGTCAGCCAGTGGTGGGGCCCCCAGTGTCACCTGTGGGGCTCTTGGTTGCTGTGTGTTGAGAAATACTGGAAGGAGCAGAGGCTGTGCTGGCTGTGGATTGGGATGAAAAGGATGTGGGGATTTTGTGAAGCCTGTGGAAACAGGGATGAAAAGAATGATAAGCTGTGCCTGCTCCACAGAGAGAGCCGACACAGGGGGAAATACGACCTGGCTCTGAAGGGGCGGAGGTTCTGTGATTTCATATATGACCATTGAGGTGTGGAAGAGGGGATAAAGCATGTGTTTGTTGTTGCTTGAGTAAAGTGTTGGTGAGAGGCAACAATCCCATTCCTAGAGTTCCGATTGTGGATATCAGGAGGGCTTTGCGTTGAGGAAGGCTCGTCCTCTGCACTCTGTTAGATTGCTGGGACCTGTAAGGGGGTCAGTGGGTAAGGAGAGGGATGAAGACAGATCTTGGGACTCTATCTAAGGCAACGCAACTTCTCTGCAATAGTAGACCGAAGAAGTGTGATCATATTTATTTGTTACATTATGGACATTATAGATTTTATTTTTGTACTCCTGGAGGTAATTGCTGCACTTTGTTCCTTGTTCAAAGTATGTACAGTATGCTGCGTGTATTTGTTGTCTTGTGTTGTGATGTTTTTTTGTTTGTTTTGATGGCACCCTTGGGGGGGAGAAGCATTTATTTATCTCATTGTACCTGTAATAATGACATTAAACGATTCTATTCTATTCTATATTGGAGTTGCACAGATTTAGTTTGGGGAGTTTGGGATCCATGGTGAGTTCATTTGAAAGACACATTAATCAAACTTTTTATATTGATGCAATTAAGCGCGAAACATGGTATGTGATTATGATAAACTAAGAGAAAGTGACGAGGAAGAGTTAAAGAGGTCTAAGAAGGCTTGACAGATGATTGGAGGCGAGGTTCAATTTTCAACTTCATTATTCAAATGAAGTGAGAGAAGGGCCAACATCAGGCACTTAGACAAAATGGATTTGAAATGAGACCAAATGTCTCATTCACCATGGTGGAAAAACTAAATTCAGTAAGTTAATTAACACAGTGCAGAGTACAGATCAAAGCCTTGCCTTGTACAAGTCTACGAACACCATTAAACGGGACTGGCCTTGTCTCCATTAGGGGCCTAATGGGTTGTGTTTGAGCCACAGCTGGTGTCTGCTGCGAACCTCAACTCGTTTCTGACCTGATCACCCACACTGCGCTGCAGACGACATGCTGGGTTTTCAGCGTTAAATCAGCCAGAGAGTCAAACACTATGTCGGTTTTCTTGTTTCCCCTCACAGTTACTCTGTAATATCAACAACCATCTATAAGAATGGATGAACACCTACACATACCAGATCTTAACATACATAACTCTGAACATATCTGGAGGTGTCTCAGGATATGGAAGAGCTTTCTTTATCTTTGGGAATGAACACACACGATAAAGATGGTAAAGTGACGTGTAGATAGTCTCATGAGTGCACACATCCATCATAAATGAGCAACACACCTGTTTCCTTACAATCTGTGAAACACATACACAGATACAAAAAACGCATCACAAGCCTGCATGCTCCTCTCATATCCCCCAAGAATGCAGAACCATGATATTTAACCTTCCTCTTGATAGCTGTCGGCTCTGTGTTTCTATTGCCTGCTTATTTGGGAATGTCTTCACCTCCATCTATCAGCGCTGCAGGAAACCCATCTTACTTCACTTTGCTGGAAAATGACTTTATCTCCGCGCGGAAATGAGAGATGAAGAAAGAGAGGAGAGTAGGAATCGGGGAAAAGGAGGCTCGTATCCGGTTAACAGGATTGGAGGGCAATTTAGGATTAGTGAGTGACCTTAACTCAGAGACAAATTGGAAATCGGACACAAACTAAAGAGCAACAAAAACAATTATATTAAAGTATTATGATACTGTACTGATATTTTCAGACTTTGTTCTTTACTTTCTCCGTCTTTAAATATAGAAGATATTAAGTGTTCTCCATAATGTTGTTTCCATAGCAACAACAACTTCCTGTCAACTCGCCTTCAAAATAATATATTATATCCTTTTCAGTTTCACAGAACACAAATTGGGTTATTTACATAATATGTTTACATGATTTTGTTGTGCAATAAAACTTTAAAAAAAATTCGGCTCTGATCGTAGCAACATCGGGCCATTCGTGAGGGCATCTTAAGCCATCGTATGACCGCCGGTGGAGTTTCTCAGGCTCTGGCAGCAACTTCGTGAGCGGTGGCAAAATCTTTGGCATGCCAAAAAATTGCCAAAGGACCTTGCGAAGGTTCATATTCGTGTTGAATTTGTGTGTCAATGTTGCCCTTCGTAAGGCCATCGTGAGGGCATCTTGTTATCATTGGTGCCATCGGGCATTCGCCCCGATCAGAGTGAGGGCGAATGCCCGATGGCACCGATGATAACACGAAGATCACGCGATTTGACAAGATGCCCTCACGAGTGCCTTACGAAGTTGCCGCTCACGAAGTTGCTGCCGGAGCCTGAGAAACTCCACCGGCGGTCATACGATGGCTTAAGATGCCGTCACGAATGGCCCGATGTCGTTACGATCAGAGCCGAATTTGAACATTTCCTTTATCGTGTGTCCATCGGGTGTCAATTTCGGGACAGTGTGTAAAAAAAAAAAAGCGAATCGAACGAAATATGATTTAAATATTAATGGCATCTATAGGAGGAGAGAAGAAAATAGGAAGAGAAGAAGAAAAAAGCAATAAGGAGAAGAAAGAAGAGAGGGGAAAGAATAGCGAAAAGAAGAGAAATAGAGGAGAAACGAGAAGAGCAAAAATGACGGGAGGAACATAAAGAGGAGAAAAGAGTGAAGGGTAGAAGAGAGTTTTATCCATCTATTTAAAGCTCCAGTGAGCAGCGTTGGTGGTTAAACCAGCCGATCAATTGTAATGCAGGAGCACTGCAGCACACTCTTTCATTTTCCTCAATACGGGTCTCTCATGTCCTTTCATTCCCCTCTCTTCTTTCTAATCTTAAGTATGACTTTATTCTTATCCCTAAATGTGTGTGTGTGTGAATAAGTCAACAACTTTACTTGCCTTACTGCATATCTGCGTTTTCTAAAGAGCCAAGTAAAACTAATTTTCACACTCAAAACCACAGTTTTTACCTTGAAAATAGGATTGATCTATGTAAATGAACAAGGTTGTCTGCGGCTGATAAGAAGTCGCCTAAAGTACAAGTATAAATGATTTGTGTGCGTGTGCGTGAAGTATAATGATTCTTCATCAGATCCTGCTTAATGGAGAAGCTGTGAAGACGCAGTGATTTACAATTGGATGAAAAGAAACTGGGAGGAGCAAGTCGTGTTTGTTTCCTATAATCTTACAGCTACGGTGTGTGAGCAAGAGCAACAGTTCTGAACACATACACCACTACCAATTATGTGCAGCCATTGTCCTTGGCTGTCTGTAAGGTCGACTGTTAACCCTGAGTGCTGGGTTACCCGTCTGTGGAGGTCAGACAGATCCAAGCTGAGACTGAGTGTGGCGAGGGCACAAGACAACAGCAGATCATTAACAAATGGAAGGAAATATCCTCAAGTTGGAAAATGTACACTTCTCTACGTCTGACATAACAGTTTGGTGCTGGTAGTCGTTTTTTATTTCCATTTATAGCAAATTGCTATTCAATGGAAAATATTTTTGAATGAAGCTC